CATGGCACTCTACCCAGGGGGACAGCTTGAGGCTCTGTCTCAAAAAAAAAAAAGAATATTTCTGAAACTGGATGCTAGGTAAACAGATGTATAGTTTTTTGTTGTTGTTGTTTATTTGTTTGAGACAGAGCCTCAAACTGTCACCCTGGATAGAATGCCGTGATAGCTCACAGCAACCTCCAACTCCTGGGCCCAAGCGATTCTCCTGCCTCCGCCTCCCCAGTAGCTGGGACTATAGGCACCCACCACAATGCCCGGCTGGCTCCCACCACAACACCTGGCTGCTTTTTGGTTGTAGCCGTCATTGTTGTTTGGCGGGCCTGGGCTGGATTTGAACCCGCCAGCTCGGGTGGATGTGACTGGTGCTTTGGCTGCTTGAAGCACAGGTGCTGAGCCAAGATGTATTGATTTTTTTATAATTATTTCTAAGTGACTTTCCAAAAAGATGATGCCATGTTAGATTCTCTCCAGCAGTGTTTGAGTGTTACACACATAACACACACCCCCTTCCAGTGGTGATTGCATTTGATTCTTTGAAGCCATCATCATTTCCCAATGGCTAAATGAAGGCCAAGAAAGCTTAGTTGACTTCTTTAAGTCCCACAGATAGGGACAGCGTCCATAGCTCAGTGGGTAGGGCACCGGTCACATACACCCAGGCCTGCAGGTTTGAACCCGGCCCAGGCCAACTAAACAATGACAGCTTCAACAACAACAACAAAAAAAAATAGGTGGGCCTTGTGGCAGGTGCTTATAGTCCCAGCTACTTGGGAGGCTGAGGCAAGAGAATTGCTTAAGCCCAAGAGTTTGAGGTTGCTGTGAGCTGTGACGCCACAGCACTCTGCCCAGGGTAACATTTTTCTGTCTCAAAGAAAGAAAAAAGTCCCACAGATAGTATATGATAGAGCCTAGATTCAAGGTGACACTATCTTATAAGTGCAGAGTCTACATGTATTCCAGCAAATGTTATTCCCTACCTGATAGGTTAACTTTAATATGTATGTGGGCTTATTCCTTAAAGAATCTTAAACTTCTTAGAGCCCTCTTCAGCACTTAGGAGAACCATAGTAGATGGTCAAAAGAGCCTTTTTTTAACACAGAAATGGGATTACTTTTTCCCCTATTGTTTTGGTTCTAATAGTAGGTCTCCTGAGTGTAAAGCAATATGGAAAAACTAGCCTGGCATTGTGGCCAGTGCCTGAAGTTTTTAGCTACTCAGGAGGCTGTGGCAAGAGGATCACTTGAGCCCAAGAGTCTGAGTTTGCTGTGAGTTATGATGTCATGGCACTCCACTAAGGGTAGCAGAGTGATACTGTCTCAAAAAAAAAATTATCAAAGTGTAGATATATGTATATTTTTCCAATAACAAATGATAGGTTGACCATACATAATGGCTTATGCCTTTAATCTTAGCACTCTGGGAGGCCAAGGCAGGAGGATCCCTTGAGCTCAGGAGTTCTAGACCAGCCTGAGCAATACCAATGCACCACCTCTACTTATAAAAATTAGCTAGTATTGTGGTAGGCACCTGTAGTCCCAGCTCCTCAGGAGGCTGAGGCAGGAGGATTGTTTGAGTCCAGGAGTTTGAGGTTGCTGTGAGTTAGGCTGATGGCTTGACACTCTAGCCTAAGACAGAGTAAGACTATGTCTCAAAAAAATAAATAAAAATAAGGAGACAGTGTGTAATAAGGAGCTCATTAAAAATAATGAGCGTAGGGGGCACCTGTGGCTCAAAGGAGTAGGGCACCGGCCCCATGTGCTACAGGTGGCGGGTTCAAACCCAGCCCCAGGCAAAAACTGCAAAAAAAAAAAATTAAAAAT